AAATGTTGATCAAACCGTATGATTGTTTCTTAGGACATGTTATATCATTGCCTTCCTGTGATGGTGCTCCCAGCAACGGTGTACAGCAACTGGGTGGAATACAATAATGATTTTCATCTCCATTAGGGTATTCCTCTTGCTACTAATATAAAAAAGAAAACAAGAAAATATCGAATATAAAATTATTCTATCTCCAGAACTAATTTAATTTACCAGATTAGACCAAATGAGATGAGGATAGTGTTAGTATGGGCAGACTTTACATTCATGAAGAGGATGCCTTCAGTTACACGATACAAATGAGATAGGTATATTGTTGACATGGACACATTTTAATTCCATTCAAAAGATGCCTTAATATATCAGATACAACTAAAGGCAATAGGTAGAGTGTCAGCATAGACACATGTTATATTCAGACAGGAAAACAATAAACAATCTAACAATAAGAAACTCAGTGAAGTGGCAAGATAGCATCACAGATACCTCAATTTTCTTCCACATATCGGGAAATTTTCCTGCCTTTGTTATCTTTTAAACCGAGACACCTTCACATTACTATACATTTTAAACCAATGGTTGCCTGGTAAGCACTTTGGGGCTCTTATAAGGATATTAAATTCAATATTTAAGGTAATATATTCTTGTCAAATATGATAAAGCAACGTTGTAAACATACCTTAACTCTAACAATGGAAATGCATTTCTTACCCATGGCACAACACACAGTGAAGAATAAAGACTACAAACATATCATTGATTAACTTTTCCTGCTGTCAGAAAAATGTATGTGGCTACATTTTCCGTTTTGTAAGCAGTATACATTAATAGTATATTTTGGGGAAATGAGCATATGTCAATATTAGTTTTATTTTCATTGCAGCAAAACATGGATTTGGTTGAACATAGTGGCCACATCATCACCATTTTATGAACATCCCGAGATTAGAAGTCTTCCAGTGAAATCTCATTGTTGATACTATTAGCTCAGTAGGAGTATTGAAAGAAAATATTTTTAATGGCCATGATTATTATATGATCATTTTGTTTCCTTCAAGTGGCCACATCATCACCATCTTCAAGAAAACCAATTCTGACTGCTCATTGAGAATCACTGTTGCCTTTATGGAGAAGACCTCTGCCACAAGGAAAAAAGCACCATATGTTTTTCAGTTATTCTAGTTCAGATATACAATGGGTGAAGAAAACTATAGCAAATGACCACGGATTTGTTTGCTGTGAGCATGATAGAGACAATACACCAGAGACTTCATTATTAAAGTTTTCTAGTGATAGCATTTGGTATGCATACATGACTGTTGTAGTAATGACCAGTGAGGCTTTTCAGATTGGTTTTGTTTTACATGAGATTGAAATGGCGATTATTCAAGGTTTTAATGAAAAGAGAAAATGTGTTGTCCCAGTATTATTGGAGGAATGTGAAGTTCCTGCCCATCTGAACGTGCTGAATTATATTGATGCCAGGGATCCAATGATGAGAAATATATGGTGGCCCAAATTTAACTGAGCTGGAGACTCAAGGTGAGCAAGTGTTTACTTTTATGTAAATTTTCATTTTTCTCATGAATTTTATATACATTTTTCCTTGCAATTTCACTAGCATTTTTAAACACACACGTTTCATTTAGGAGTTAGCTTAGAAGTGATTTGGCTGATAGACAGACATAAGCTTTAAACCACCATGATACATTATATACTACAGTCCAAACATGTTTTGTTCTTCTAAAGTTATTCTGTAATAAGTTATGCCATACAGTATAACTCAGTTCCTGGATAGGACAGTGATAATGCCATTCTGTATTGCCTCTTCTTCACCTCCATGACAAAATGAGACCCAAAGATGAATCATCAATTTAATGCATTCCTAAAACTTGTTGATTCACATTTTTCAATCATGTCTTTTAGTTCTTATCATTTACCTTGGCAAAATTATTAGAAGATTAGATAATGTATTCTTTCTAACATTTTTCATAAGCATCAGTAGATCACCCCTTGTCATCTCAAACTTATTGTTTTATTCTTTACATAGCTGAGGAGTTGATTTAACATAAAGGCTACAATGTGTTTTCAGCACCTATAATAAAAATAAAAACCTATAATATTATTTTCCAAGGACATGTGTAATGAAACAAACTAAATTGAAGGAAACAAAATGATCATATAATGATCATGGCCATTAAAAACTATTTCTTTCAACATTCCTACTAAGCTAATAGTCATATCAACAATGGGACTTCACTGGAAGACTTCTAATCTCGGGATTTTCATAAAATGGTGCTGATGTGGCCACTATGCCAACAATTCTAGAAATCCTGTATATTCCTCTTGAATTGGAAATAATATTGATATGAAGATTACTTCCAAAGACTTCCCATGAGGTTTTGTTGGCATTGTATCATTATTCATTCATCCAGTATGATGTTCACGGCCATCTTAAAAATTATATCACTTTAACACCTAGATTGATGGTCATCTTGACAGGGCATTTTCAACAAACGACTTCCTATATTGTTCTAACTGGAAATATTGTCTACAATATGTATATCATGAAAGCCAGGTTCTTGTTTGTACTAAATAGAAAGTCATGCTGGCATGAGGTTAGCACCAGACTTCAAATGGAATCTATCTGGTCTTCAATGTAAAGGTTACTGATCTGATCAGCATCATTATGATAGTCATCTTACAAATATCGATATATCCTTTATATTCTTCCTTTATATATATTTGGTGCTCAGCATTAAGAGGTTAATGTTAGGACTGGTCGGCTGGTGTTAGGATAATGTGACTGGGTGGGACATCATAGTACATGTCTGTAGCATGATGCCCCACTGCTAGACATCACTACAAACTGTCACAATGCATACATTGTAGGGATATGACTGAAAAATTGTTAAAGCTACGTTAAAAATCTAAATCACAAAAACACACTCACCTTTATCTATGGATATATCATCATGGGATCATATTCAGAAAAATCTTTGATATGATGGATCATGTAAAAACAAAAGATTTGTGTGATGTCGGATTGGTTTGAATGTAAATGGTGACAATTTAATGTCATTACAGCTTGATTGAATATATTCGTATTGCATATCCAACGAAATTGATGATGCCACACCGTGTAGTTGTCTTGTTTTCAGTATATTTTCTCATAAATATGAATAAGACATGTACAGTCAGATTCACTAACATATCACCAAGGACATATTTTAAAGATAATGCATATATTGATGTTTTTTTTTATATTATTGTTATATTTCAGGACAGAACAGATGGAGATACTTTTAAACAAATATAAAGTTGCCATAAGAGAAATTTCAATGTATTTCTGTTTCTTGTCTCATGATTCCACAAGCCAGAGTATATATGTCTGGTTTTCAAGGTTTAAATACAGAAGAAATTACAATCGCCAAGACAGATCTAATGTTGTATGTTGATGAAGAAAAACTTATAATGATAGTTTAATATAATTTAAAAGCAAATGATAAAAATGACTTTTAGATGTGTTTAATTGTCTTGACTCATTATTACAAAGCAGACAATCCAATACGAAATATAAATTTACAAATTACTAGATCTTATAGCACATAGTATTGCTATCAAATATAACAAACCAGTATTTTCTATAAAAACAAATAATTTGTTTACCTAAGCAAAATATGAAATATCAGTTTTCCTTTTGCGCAAAAAAAACTATATATATATATATATATATATATATATATATATATATATATATATATATATATATATATATATATATATATATATATATATATATATATATATATATATATATATATATGTTTTGCTAATGGGCTGTCATAGTTATCATTAATGTTCCTTCCTTTTATTTCTAGGTAGACTGCCATGACAATTGCAAAGTGGTCCAACATATCAGTTTATAGATAGACATCTCAGTTTATAGATAGACATCTCAGATATATTAAGAAGTTACAAGATTGCAATCCAGCTGATTTCTTATGATCTTGGAAGAATGGTATCAGCTAAGTGTGCACAGCCTATTTCAGAGATCTGGAAGATGCAGTTCAAGTTCATAGAGTTAATGTTTGTATTCTCAATTTAATTGACATAATAACTAAAAATGTAATATTATTATAAATTATGTCTAACAATAAACCTGTGATTTAAATATTGACAAGAAATTATTAACTTACGAAAAATCATGAAATCCAAGGCATTGGCAAAGCAGTCCTGACAGCATATCATTTCATTTTTCATCCATATACAATTACATTCTTACTAAGGCAGTTATAAATTACTTGTACATATACATTGAAATATTGCATAATTCAGATACGACTCAACCATCACACAAGTATTTATAAATTGCTACTACACATAAATTGAATTGGTGCGTGACCCATATACCAACTACTGCTCAGACATTTATAAATTGCTACTACACATAAATTGAATTGGTGCGTGACCCATATACCAACTACTGCTCAAACAGACATTTATAAATTGCTACTACACATAAATTGAATTGGTGCGTGACCCATATACCAACTACTGCTCAAACAGACATTTATAAATTGCTCTAACATCTATACAGATTAGAAAATTCTGTAAAACATAGAAACAGAATAATCTGTCATGGTTTCACAAATCTGTTGAAATTATGCTTTTACTGTACAAAGCTTTCAAAAAATATAATTGTCTGTTGCATGTTTGTGTACTATTTTAAATCTGTTGTAATTTATAGTGTGTGCGTATGTGGTTTGGATTTTTAATGTACCTTTAACATTTTTAGTAATCTCTATGATGTCTTCAGTGTGGCAGTTTATATTGATATCTAGCACTAGAGCATTATGCCACAGACATGTAGACATGTAGTATGATGTCCCACTCAGACACATTATCCTGACACCAGGCCGACCAGTCCTAATACTAACCTCTTAATGTTGAGTGCCTAGCAAGGCAACTCTTAGTACCATGTTTGTAAGTCCTTGGTATGACTCGACGGGGAATTGAACCCACGACCTCGTGCATCTGAGGCAAACGCTCTAACCACAAGGCCACAGGAGCAGTCCATAAAGGTAATTAAATGTAGAAACTTGAAATTGTACGTTACAAGAGGCCATTCATTTAATGATCAGTTAGTATGAATCACAAAATGACATCATCTTTAGCATAAAATGCTGCAGGTAAGTTACTTCTTTTGAATATTTTGTTCATTCTATCAAAGACAATCTGCCTTTTGCCTCTGCATAAAATGTCTCCATTTTTCATATAAGTTAGGGATATTACCTCGAGTTTATCAGTCCTTAAGTCCTTTTGCCATTTTATACTTCTGTATGTTCTCTTTTTCATCATTCCATTAATATATCTATCCTTCATTCATTCCAGATATTTCTTCAATTACATTATATCTGCATTTGAATAAAATGTGATATGCAAGTTGGTTTTGATGCAGTTTTCTCTGGGTGTCATTATAGCAATCAACATCATGATTTAGTAGAGGTATTGTTCCTAATTGCCAAATCCAAATATCTTCATTTCTGCACAGCAGCTGGATTTTAAATTAATTTGTGATCATCATTTAATTGAACATGATAGTCAGAACCATATATTTTCAATTCTCCCTGTAACCTGGCTGGTCGCAGGAATGCTGCTGACGACCTTGCAACAATTTGTCTCCATTTTGCCATGTTCTTCAATGCTTTTAGGGATTTTGAAACTCCGTGCCTGTCCAATCTTTGTTCTTACCTTTCTGTCTCCTGTGATGTATCCAAAGTTTTTATTTCCTCTTTCTGGGCCTTCTATGACTGTCTTTGAATTGTGAAATGAGTGTCAGTTGTGACCATACCATTTCTAGTTTGTCTTTTGTTACAGTGTTGAGTGGATCATCATAAGTTCCTGTCGCGTCTTGGATTCTAATGCGCACTAGCTCATAAAGACGAGTTCTAATCATGATATTTACTGGATCCTTCGCTCATGTCTCCAAAGTATGGATTCTTTCCTTAAGTTCTGCTCTCAGGGTCAATAACTCACATCTATACAGGAATGTGGAAAAGGGAGCACATATAACTGATCTACGGTTCAAGCATGATGTAGCTGTTCTTGCCAGTGCAGTTGTTGTTTGCACGATCCTGGAAAGGATCTTAGGTCTTAAACATTCATCAGAGGTAATTTCAAGCTTGTCACTGTGCCCATTTTCTGTCATTTCTTTCTTATTTCCTTTCTAGATGCCACTCGGGTTGTTTGGCATTAGCTTAGTCTTTTTTTTGCAGATCTCAGTGCCAAAACTTTGTGGTGCTCTTTGATTTTGTTTACTAAGGTTTTATTTCTTGTTCATTGTATGCTTATACATCGATTTAAAGAGTTCAGCACAGGCTGGTGACTAGAGAACAGTAGGCACTAAAGGACGACAAACGTTTGCAACACTTAACACCTTTTATGCGATATGTTAGACAGTTAGAGACACAGTCCCTTTACTATTGTATTGTGATCAAGCGATAATTTCCAAAATCCCATTAACATATCTGCAATAAATATTCTGAAACGTTTAGTTTCAAATTAAAATATATATCATGCGTATTTCAATTTATGATCAAATTGCCCCACAGGGTTGTAAGCAAAACTCTTACACTTTCACTTACACAAGTACATAACTTAGATATTTATGTATATCTATTTGCATCCTTTAAAGGAAAAACAAGAAAAATGAATAATGCAGGCTACTCCATTGAGGTCTGTCAAATGACTTATTTTGTAGAGTCTACAATGTGTCAGTTTCTTTGCTCTTTATGAAACTTTGATGCCTATGGGACAAATTTACAAAAATGAAATGTTATGAAACATTTATCTACACTAAAATCTTATGAATGCATTTATGCCCGATATATCCACATATGGTATTGCTTCAATGGAAATAAAAACTCCGCTTATTAAGAGAAAGTTTCTGTCCCATTTTGTAATAACATTATAGTACCACATAATAGCACAAACTTTTCTTACAGTAATACAATAATGTATCGCAATAACACACTGTTATGATAATATTTAAATGATGTATCATAATAACGTAACATTGTATTGATAACACACTGGTATCTTGCGATAACAAATCATTATGATAACTTAGTACCATCTCGTAATGACACACCATTATGATAATGCAATTTTATCACGCAATCACTCAACATTATAATAATGCAATACTATCTCGTAATAGCACTTTATTATGATAATGCAATGCTAACTTGTAATAACGCAGTAATATCTGGCATCTCATAATACTAATTTTGTGACAACACAATGATGCCAGGGAATAACACAATAATATTCGTAATGACTTAATATCATGTCTTAATAATGCAATAAAGTTATATAACATAATTTAACATGGTTAAAAATTTAATATTGTCTCATAATAACATAATCAAATGAAACATTTTCTCATGACACATTGTATTTATATATAATAAACATAGCGCTGTTTCATTTTCGCATGTTTCCTTACATTACTATTGTTTTATTTTTAACATGAACAATAAATAAATGCATGATCCTATAGTATCATTTTTTTGTATTTTTGTTTCGTTTCTGTTAAGGGTATCGTCCTTATTTTATGTTTAACAAACTGATAACAAAATATAATTGTATTTAACAGTGAATAAATATTAGTTATATGTGTATATAACATCTATTATTTAGCAGTGCAAGTCCTGTTGAAAGCAAGAATTATTGATATTACAAATATTACCATTACTGCATGGTCATATTCCCCTTTATGATTTCTGCCATAATGTAACGGACACCCACATCTTTAGAATGCCATAATATAACCAGTGCTGATATAACATATTCTTAACTAGCGTTTGAAATAGTTTCGAAACTCACTTTATTATTAGCTAGTGAAGCAGAGTAACAGGACAAAAGACACACTAACCAAGAGGCAAAATCTATTAGTCCTTAAAATACGTGTACACAGTACACTAATAGAGATTTATGCACATTATAAATTATATTAATTTGCAATCAGTTTGTCCCAAATCATAATCTTTTCCATCCGATTCTGAATAGTCCTCCATATATAGTGGTCTTTGAATCGGTCCGCAAGAGTTCCATAAATATACAGCTAGCACTGTATCATAATCAGCAATGGCTTCACTTAAAAAGTTCAGCTTTAAAAAGTCATTCAATACACTGCTGTGCAATCTGCATCTCCAATCAGATTTTGTCATTTTCAATTCGCTGAATCCCCACTCTGCAGCCGCTGACGAGGCTGGCAGGGTCAACACAATATCCACCAGTACAGGAATGTTAGTGTGACCTTCTTGAAATCTCTTGTTAACATCACACTATTGTAAATTCTCTGCCTGACATCCACAAGCTTAAATTAAACTTTTCAAGAGCTACCACTCCTCTTCAGTCTACCCTGGATAGATGCCCGCCGTTATCATTACTGGGTAAAATGATCCAGCACATCACAGCAGTAGCATCATCGCCAAATCCAATATCATTTGAGTTTTTTGAGCATGAATGAAAATCTGCAAAATATGTGGCTTTCAATACATCACATTACTGTTTGTCAAATAGGGCATCCAAGTGTTCTGCTAAACAGTTGATCATGTCTTATCTAGCATGAAGTGATAACTGCACTGATGTTCTGGAACTTTTACAAAACCATGAATTTCTTTTTATAGGTCCATTACCCATATCCTGCAGAAACTTTCTTAACCTAGGTCTTTCTCTTAATTTCAACTGTTGTAAAACATCAATAGTTACAATAACTTTCAGATACACTTCAGACACGAAACAAGACTCATTTTGAAGAAACAACGACAACTTGGGCACTAAATTTATGACATCTGTCAAGAAGAGGGCATCTTACAACATTTTCAGATAGCCAGCAGCTTTTCCAGTAGCTTCAGGTCTTCTAGCTGAAGGCTAATCAGGAGGTGGCTGTCTATTACTGGGTATGATCTCCACAAATTGTCCAAAGCCCACTGCCTATGTGCCAACCTTCTAGTTCCACCAAAATTGAATAGGGACTATCTTGGTGATTCTCAGCACCTCACATGCCCCTTATAAATCACTTATATTTAAAGAGCTATTCTGATGAAAATAGTAAAGTCCTGTTAACAGCTTTTCAACCTTTGCATGGATAGGCTTTTTCAATGGCAGCTTTGTAAGCCAATTCCAAACAATGAACAAGGCAATGTATTCATACAAGACATATATACGATTCTCAAAATCTAGCAATAATACCATTGTTTTTTCCACTATTGACAGCAGCTCCATCAGAACCAAATCTAAAAAAAAATACTTTTGTAATCAGGCATTGCAATTGATACAAATACATCATCAATAGCTCCTAAAATCCCATCAGCATTAGCTCGTGAAACTTCTGTCATACCCAAAAATGAATTGCATATAATCCACCCAGAGCAGTTCTAAAATAAACAAATTCTTGTTCATGGAATCCTTTATCAGTGGAACCATCAGTGATAATACTAATAAATTGTACTGATTTAATCTATTATTTGAGTTTATTTCTTGCACACTGTAAAATAAATTCTGAAAACACTTGTACCTCTTTGTCATTGATATATGTTTGGCCATCATTAATTCCCATTTTGGCATCCAATAGGACCATTCACATATAATTCGTTAAACGGCCTTCTCATTTGTACTAAGGCGTGTACATTCCTAAACAAAACTGACTTTTTCCAAAACGTTTTCGTTTAGCGTCATGGCGTTTTTACTTGCAGATGACTGTCCTTTGGGTTTTGATATTTGCGATTTTGTTTCATGGTATAATATTGTTTCCAACTGTAAATTGGAACATCCAACTACAAATGAGCTTTCTTATCATCATCCGTTTTTTGAATACTTTCTCTAGACGTTGCAAAACTAGGTTTGTACTTCGGTGTTATGCCACGGCCGACCACATTTCCCCTTCTATAGAAAAGTTCGGTTCCTGCTTTATTTATTATACCGTTTGTCGCGTTCCCTAATGTCCTCGTTTTTGTGGGCCTTGAGCCTTTTGGCCGGAATTTCCACACCTTGTACAACTCGCCACAT